TTTTTCTTTCTGCCAAGGAGGCAGTTGACTGCAGGGCCAAATGGGGACATAGCTGAATTTACGCGAATCTTCTCTGGGCCAAAGAAACCAGAAACACAACACCCCCTCATCCCTGGCTTATTTCCTTTCTAGCTCCCAGTTCTCTTCTTCAATTGAAAGAGTGTATATTTTTCTCTGATTTCTCTTCTTCCCCCTTCTCCTGCTTCTCAGCCAATTCACACCGCAGGCTTCAAACGCATTGGAAACCTCTTTCCTTTCCAAACCTGGATTTGTCTTCTGACACCCGTGGCTCTCTTCTTTCTCTGGCAGTCTTGTTTGGCATGGGTAGATCTAGACTGTACTTGCTCTCAGAATATTAACAGGATGGAAGCAGGGCGGGGTTGACCAAGGTGCCAAGAAGACTCAGAGCTGGAGGAATACTGGAGTGAGTGTGCTGCCCTACACGAAACGGAGGCTCCCGCCGGGCATCCTGGGCTCAGTGGGAGGAACTGAGATTTGTGTTGCAGATAATGGAGAGGTCTGGAGGCATTCCAGAGACTCGAACCAGGGGTCTGAGAGAGTCCTTGGACAAAAACATGCCACTGGTGTGTATTTCCTAGAGTTTAGTTACACCACAGCCAAAGAGAATAGAGGCATGCCGCAGGGGAGCGGGGGCGGCGGGGGGGCTTGGAAAGGGAATGTAGTCTGGGAAATATAGTTTGTATCTTGGCTATCTTGTCAATTAGCGATGGAGAATGGGGGACTGAAGGAGGATGAGATAGTGTTCAGGGCCTGAAGAAAGGGTGTGGCCAGTAAGGTACTCCTGGCTTCAGTGGCCTGTTTATTGCCTATGTTTTGTCATTTGTAAGCCAGCTCCTCTGTGCTGCCTTAATATTTTGTGGAGGGAGGATAGTCTGATTCCCTGGGACCTCTGCCATGAAGGCCTGTTTCTTTGAGCTGGATGTTGAGAGCTGCTCAGACATGCAGCCGTCATCAACAGCGTCCTATAAACCTGGAGCGTCAGCCCAGCATGGGAAAAGCAGCAGCAGCACCCTGCCTGCCGAACAACTGCCCCTGTCTTCCCCATCTTCGTCTGTTCCTTCCCCTGCACAGGAAAAAGCCTGGCAGTGACACAGTATTTCAAGCAAATGGTGCACTGGAACTTTTTTCAAACTAAGTTTCTAAGGCCAAGAATTGACTGGCTCATTTTCATCTCTATTTAAAAGTACCTTTTGCTATGAAATGTCCCACTGGGAAGTGTTTCCACTTTGGAAAGGTGCTCTGACATGACAGGAGTTAAAGCAACTTAATTACGCTGGGCGCAGTGGCTCACGCCTGGAATCCCAGCGCTTTGGGAGGCTGAGGGGGGCAGATCACTTGAGGCCAGGAGTTTGAGACCAGCCTGACCAACACAGTGAAACCCCGTCTCTACCAAAAAATACAAAAGTTAGCCAGGTGTGATATCGGGTGCCTCTAGTCCCATCTACTCAGGAGACTGAGGCAGGGGAATGGCGTGAACCCGGGAGCGGAGCTTGCAGTGAGCCGAGGTTGCACCGCCGTACTCCCGCCTGGGCGACAGAGCGAGACTCCATCACAAAAAAAAAAAAAAAAAAAAAGGCAACTTAATTTGACTGAGAAGGGTAACAACCTTTGGGTTGGAAAAGCAAGCAGCTTTCCCTCTTTAACCAGCTCTTTAGTGTGTGTTGCTGTTTTCTGCAGGGCTTCTAATAATCCCCTGGCTTCCTCATTCCTCAGAGCCAAGCATCACTGAGCTTGGGCCTGAGCTCCTTCAGTCTATGACTCAACAACAGGTGTTAGCCTAGGGCCCTTGGCCTCTTTTTTCACACTTCAATTTAAGACTTTAGCTTTGCAAGGAGAAATTGTTTCCTGTCTTCCCTGTCCAAGTTCTAAGCAGGATGGCCTTGAAACTCCAAAGTTGGAGACTAAATATTCCCTATTCCCTCTTTCTCCAAGGAAAATCCATACCCAGGCTGAAGATAAAGATGTTTCTTAAAGGTAATTTCTAGCACAGCATGCTCTGTGGCAGTGAGACCTACTTTAAACACAAAATGTGTGTGGCCTTTCTGCTGGAATTTCTCTTCTCCTGGAGCCCCCTGGGACACAGAATTGAGGGTGGATAGTAGTAGCAGGATAATTAATTTCCTAAAAGGTGTTGGTCGCCAAGTCTTAGACCACAGGACCTCAGACAGCCGAGGGAAAGGAAGTCATTAGTACTTGTGACTCAATCTATCAATTCAGTGCTGATTATACACCCAGCCCTTCCTCTCACTAGGATTCCAGGCCCAAACTTGTATATGTCTGCAGGAGTTTTATCACCCTATGTCTGTTTTGTTTTTATTTTATTTATTTTCTGAGATGGAGTCTCGCTCTGTCACCCAGGCTAGAGTGCAGTGGCATGATCTTGGCTCACTGCAACCTCTGCCTCCCGAGTTCAAGCAATTCTCCTGCCTCAGCCTTCCAAGTAGCCGGGACTACAGGCGTGTGCCACGATGCCCGGCTAATTTTTCTATTTTTAGTAGAAACAGGGTTTCACCATGTTGGCTAGACTGGTCTGGAACTCCTGGCCTCAGGTGAGCTGCCCTCCTCGGCCTCCCAAAGTGCTGGGATTACAGGCGGGAGACATGACGCCCGGTTCTGTGTCTGTTTTATATTTGTCCATATGTGCTTGTGTGTGAACTGGCCTGCTATGTACAATATATTTCTTACTGTGGGAACAAATCTGAAGAACACTGGTTTAGAGGACAGACCTCTGTCCTTGACTGTATTGTAATCTCAGGGTCGAGGTCCAAAATGGACTTCCTTCCAAACTGCTCCCTGTCCCTTTATCCCTTAAATCCAGTTTGTCAACAGGTCCTCATGTTTCCTCTGTTGAAATATCTCTTGGGCTGGGCGTGGTGGCTCATGCCTGTAATCCCAGCACTTTGGGAGGCCAAGGTGGGCAGATCACCTAAGGTCAGGAGTTCAAGACTAGCCTGACCAACATAGCGAAACCTCATCTCTGCTAAAAATACAAAAATTAACTGGGTGTGATTGCGCACGCCTGTAATCCCAGCTACTCTGGAGGCTGAGGTAGAACAATCGCTTGAACCCAGAAGGTGGAGACTGTAGTGAGCCGAGATCACGCCATTGCATTCTAGCCTGGGAGACAGAGTGAGACTCTGTTAAAAAAAAAAAAAGGAATGTATCTCAGAAGTGCGCCTTCCCATGTTCACAGTTTCAACTCATCTCTTGAAGCCTAGATGACCACTGAAGCCAGTCCTTGCTGATCTCCACCTCCAGCCTCTTATCTGCCCCACATCCACCCTCCCTACCACTGTCATTTGAATCTTCCCCAAATGCAGTGTTGTTTCTATCAGTCAGGGCTATTTAGCCAGGACAAAAGAAGGATGATAGCAGTTTCCAAAGAGAAGGTGGGTCCCTTGGGAGGAGCAGCAGCAGTTTTGCTCCAGAGGGCAGAATCTGGATGGTGCCGGGTAGTTGCAGGGAGATAGCTAAGAAACAAAAGAATCCATTGACAATTAGAGCAGGGTGGACTGTCTTGGCAAGTAGCAAGTTTTCCTATACACACCAGCAGTATCTCAATTAGAAAACAACGCAAAATATAACAACAGATAGAAAATACCTAGGCATAACCTTTATTTGAAATGTCAATGACCTATGTGAAGAAAATGACCAGATTTTCTGGAGAAAGATGGGAAAACAATGAAGAAAAATTTTCCTGGATGGAAACTTAAAATGGTAAAGATGTCAATTCTTTATTTTTAGGCTTTGTGTAATTACAGTGAGTTACATTGTAATTCAATAGAGTCTTTTTAGAACTGGATATAATTATTTTAAAATTCCATCTGGAAGAATACATGGGAAAATGGTAAAGAAAATTTTGAAGGCAGAGCTAATTTGGGAGGATTATTAGTCTTGGCAAATAGCAAAACATTATATAGCTTATACATCAATTTAAGAGACTAGCTAGGCAGAAATAGACCCAATTATACAATATAAGCATTTGAAAAGGATAAAAGAAGCATTGCAACTTAACGGGGAGAAAGGCATTTGAACAGTTGGTTAAAAATTTGGGAAAAGGCCGGGCGCAGTGGCTCACGCCTGTAATCCCAGCACTTTGGGAGGCCCAGATGGGTGGATCACGAGGTCAAGAGATCGAGACCAACCTGGCTAACAAGGTGAAACCCCCGTCTCTACTAAAAATACAAAAATCAGCTGGGCGTGGTGGCGCACACCTGTAATCCCAGCTACTCCGGAGGCTGAGGCAGGATAATTGCTCCAACCCAGGAGGCAGAGGTTGCAATGAGCCAAGTTTGCGACACCACACTCCAGCTTGGGCAACAGAGTGAGACTCCATCTCAAAATAATAATAATAATAATAATAATTGGGAAAAAGAAACTAAGCGGCATACCTAAATTCTATATAAATTAATTAAATATTACAAATTGTAGAAAAACTAGAAGAAAATACAATTGAATATCAAATCCAAAAGGAGATACATTTAGAATGTTAGTATTGAAGGTCATGAAGGAAAACATTTTTAGTTCATAAAAATGTAAAATTTCTGAATTAAACTAAAGGCCCAAAGAATGAGGACTTGTTGGTGACAAATGTGGTGAATAGGCAACATTTTTATTGATCTGCTCAAACAAATTGATACAAATACTAAGATTCTACTAGATCAGTGGTCAGGATAAGAATAGATAGTTCATTAAAAATTCATATTCTGGCCGGGCGCAGTGGCTCACACCTGTAATCCCAGCACTTTGGGAGACCGAGGTGGGTGGATCATCTGAGGTCAGGAGTTCGAGACCAGCCTGGCCAACATGGCGAAACCCAGTCTCTACTAAAAATACAAAAATTAGCTGGGTGTGGTGGTGTGTGCCTGTAGCCCCAGCTACTCAGGAGGCTGAGGCAGGAGGATCACTTGAACCCAGGAGGCGGAGGTTGCAGCGAGCTGAGATTGTGGCACTGCACTGCAGCCTGGGCGACTGAGCAAGACTCCATCTCAACAGCAAGTAAATAAATTCATATTATTTTCAATGCACATATTTATTAAGTTCCTGCTCTCTGCAGGCCACTGTGTCTTTGACCAAGGATTCAGGTAGGGACACGGCAGTGAACAATACAAATTTGCTCTTGCCCTCAAACATCTTGTGTTAGGTAGGATAACATGGGCTACAAGTTGGAGAAAATGTGACTGCAATTGGTTTAAACAACAAAGGACCAGTGTTACTGGCTGAAGTGACAGAAAAGTTCAGAGACATTTTAGACTCAAGTGAGCCTGCATAGACAAGCTTGAGGTCTCACCAAAGATCCAGCTTCTTTTCATTTCTTCTCTCTGCAGAAGAGGTTTGTTGCAGTGCTTATTATAATCATATAAAATAGGAAACAACATGTGTCCAACAATAGAGAAACGGGTAAGTAAATGAGGATGCAGTCAGTCTGGGATATTATGCATTCACTACAAATGGCTGTTATGAAGACTATGTCGCATCAGGGAACAGTGCTTAGAATGTTAAGTGAAAAAAGTAGGACACAAAATTTTATGGACATTTATTACAGCTTTGCAAAACAAAATGTTTCTGGAAAGGCTAGAAATAAATACACCTAAATGCTAATATGTTAGTGGGGTGGGTTTTGCCTTTGTTTTTGTTTTCTGTTACCTTTATTCTTTTATCTAAATTTTCTAGAGTGTTTACTCTCTCTCCAGCTAGGCTGTGTTCTTGCTGCCTTCTGCACTTACTGGGATCATTCCTGTCTTTGTACAATTACTGGTGTGATTTCTTTTACCAGCAGTGCCTTCCTCTTTTGACCTATTAATCCATTAAATATTTACTCATGATTGAATCAAGGGTATTGTATAGCTTATGGAAGATAATGTATTTGAAAACACTTTTGTAAAGTGCTTCACAGATGTTAATTGTTATTGTTAGGTGGAAAAAGAGGAGGAGGAGGAAAAGAAAGAACCTATTATTTGCATGATATTGAGCCAGGTACCATAGGGATGTCTGGATGGAAAATATAGAACAGGGTTGTAGCCTTCCAGAAGTCTGCACTCTCGTCAGATGGATGGGAGAAAAACAGCAGCATGTGAAATAGATGAATAGTCATGGAATATGTAAAATGCTAACATGAGAGAAGGGTGGGGAGGATGTGGAGCTAGAACTAGGCTCCGAAGGATTTGGGCAGGTAGATCGGCAGGAAGAAAGCTTGAGTTGGAAATGAATGCGGCATATGTGGGGGATGGTGAGCCCAGCTGAAGAGACCTTTGGGAAAGTGGCAAGAGGGCAAGGAGAGACAAATGGAGTGGGCCTTCTGGGGAGAGTCTGGATTTTATTTTATTTTATTTTATTTATTTTGTTTATGTTTGAGACGGAGTCTTGCTCTGTCACCCAGGCTGGAGTGCAGTGGTGTGATCTCAGCTCACTGCAACCTCCCCATCCCTGGTTCAAACGATTCTCCTATCTCAGCCTCCCAAGTAGCTGGGATTACTGGCATGTACCACCATGCCTGGCTAATTTTTTTTTTTTCTTTTTGAGATGGAGTCTTGCTCTGTTGCCCAGGCTGGAGTACAGTGGTGCGATCTCGGCTCACTGCAAGCTCTGCCTCCTGGCTTCGTGCCATTCTCCTGCCTCAGCCTCCTGAGTAGGTGGGACTACAGGCACCTGCCACCATGCCCAGCTATTTTTTTTTTTTTTTGTATTTTTAGTAGAGATGGGGTTTCTCCGTGTTAGCCAGGATGGTCTTGAACTCCTGATCTCAAGTGATTTGCCTACCTCAGCCTCCCAAAGTGCTGGGATTACAGGCGTGAGCCACCGCACCGGGCCTGCACTCTAATCTTTAAAGTGAAAGGTCTCCATTAGAGGTTTTTGTTTGTTTTTGTTTAAACTAGTATGTAAGTTCTGGCAAGGCAGGGATTTTTCTTGCCTATCTTGTTCAACACTGAATCCCTAGTATCTAGAAGAGTGGTGCCTGGCACATAGTAGATACACAATAAATATTAGTTGAAGAGAAATTGGAATGAATGAATCACTAGAGTGACATGATAAAATAAGAAATCTAATCCCAAAGAGGCAGACAGCATGATTGAAAAGGTAAAGGCTGGCAGCAAGGAAACAAGTAATGGATGTTAGGGCACCTCCAGGCATGAAGCAATGAGGGGCTGAACTGTGATAATGGCCGCTGGACTGGAAAGAAAGGGACCGTTGGTGTGAGAGTCACTGGGAAAGAACTGATAGGCCTTGGTGACCGACCAACTGAATGCAGGAGACAAAGGAGAGAAAATAATCAAAGATAACATCAAAGAAAGTTACTCATTCTTTAAGACTTAGCCTGTGTTCTCTTTTATGAAGGCCTCCCAGAATTCTCAAGCCTGTGCGGTGTTCCCTTTCTGCTCAACACAGATCATATGTATTCCCCTGTTGTAGGATGTCATAATGTACTGTCTTGCATTATAATTCAGACTTTGCATTTGTTTCTTTCCCCAGAGAGACCGCAAGCTTTTAAAGGTCAGGGATATCTCTAATTCCACAGTGCCCAGTGCTAATAGTGCCACAAAGTAGATAGTTAATAAGTGCTCACTGATTTAGAACAAGTTTATTCAATCAAGCCATCCTGGGCTGCATCAGGATGGCTTTGAATGTGGCCCAATGCAAATTCGTAAACTTTCTTAAAACATTAAGATTTTTTGCAGTTTTTTTTTTTTTTTTAAAGCTTATTGTCTATTGTTAGTGTTAGTGTATTTTATGTGTGGCCTAAGACAATTCTTCTTCTTCCAGTGTGGCCCAGGGAAGCCAAAAGATTGAACACTCCTGATTTAGAAGAAACCGGTATATATATATATATATTTTTTTTTTGTCATAAGGAGGCACTTCTGTTTTTTTTTTTTTTTAATTATTATTGTTTTCATTTTCTTTCTTAGTTGGTCCTAGGGAATGAGGAAGAGACAGATTCTGGTTCCAATATCCTTCTTATGGAAGAGTCAAATGCCAGCTATATTATCGTTGCCATCAGCAATAAATAATCTCATCCATTCATTCACTTGTTCTTGTATTCAATCATTCAACAATAGGGCAATAGTGTAGCATAGAGTTTAAGGAGTTAGCATGGGCTTTGGATCTTTCTCATAATCTTAGATATGTTACTTACTGGCCATGCTAGTTTGGAAAAGTTATTTAAGCTCTCTAAGCCTTAATTTCCTAATCTATAAAACCAAAATAATAATGCCTGTCTAATTAGAACATTTACCAAGTGCTTATATGCACTGTCATTTAATCCCCATTTTACAGATGAGGGAATTGAGACACAGTAAGTCACTTGTCCAAGGATGCACAGGTAGAAAGTGTCAAACCAGTTCTAGGTCATAGGTGATTTGATTCCAGAGCCCTTGTGCTTAGTGCTATGCCTGACAATCTCATGGGTGTGGCAGTGGCCAGCACAAAGCCATATGAGGGGATCCTATGTGGCACGTTTGGCACACAGCACATGCTAAATATGTTAGTAATTGTTAATAAGTATTTTTTGGCCAGGTGCAGTGGCTCACACCTGTAATCCCAACACTTTGGGAGGCCCAGGCGGGCATTTTACCTGAGGTCAGTAGTTCAAAACCAGCCTGGCCAACATGGTGAAACCCCATCTCTACTAAAAATGCAAAAATTAGCAGGGTGTGGTGGCACGTGCCTGTAATCCCAGTTACCCAGGAGGCTGAGGCAGGAGAATCACTTGAACCTGGAAGGTAGAGGTTGCAGTGAGCTGAGATCGTGCCATTGCACTCCAGCCTGGGCAACAAGAGTGAAACTCCGTCTTAAAAACAAATAATAAATAAAAAATAAATAAATAAATTTTTTTAGCATTCAATGTCAGAGAAGATATAGGGCATGGCTTTGAGGATGTGAAGAGGAAAAGATACACAGACTCTGCCCTCAAGTTGCCACCAGTCTAGTACTGCCACCAGACGCTTGTGTAAACCAAAAATAAAATTCTAAGCCCCCTGCAACTATCTGAATGGACCCCTCTTCTCAGCCAAGGGCATTCCAAAGTTAACCCAAAAAACTAGTTCAGGTTAGAAGCAGGAGCTGGACATACCTCATCATACCCTCATCCCTTTTGGAATTACTGATGGAACAGACTCTTTAAGTCTCATAAGAAACATTTACAATCTATTGTCTCTGAAGCCTGCTACCTGGAGGCTTCATCTGTATGACAGAAGGTTGGTCTCCACAATCCCTTATCTTGACTCAGATATTCCTTTCTATTGATTCCAATTTTATTGATTCCTGACATAGCACTCAGGAGATCCTGAGAACATGTGCCCAAGGCGATTGGGCCACAACTTGGTTTTACACATTTTAGGGAGACATAAGGCATCAATCAGTACATGTAAGGATGTACATTGGTTTAGTATAGAAAGGTGGGACAACTGGGAGGGGTTTGGGGGGAGCTTCCAGGGCACAGGTAAATTCAAAGATTTTCTGATTGGCAATTGGTTGAAAGAGTTAAGTTATTTTCTCAAGACTTGGAATCAGTTGGGTGCTGATTCCAACCTTCTAATAGACAAGTATCTATTGATTCCAATAGAAAGGAATACTTTTTTATTATTTTATTTTTTTGAGACAGGGTCTTGCTCTGTCACCCAGGCTGGAGTACAGTGGCACGATCTCAGCTTTTTGTAGCCTCTGCCTTCCGGGTTCGAACAATTCTCCCACCTCAGCCTCCCGAGTGGTGGGATTACAGGGGCCCACCACCATGCCTGGCTAATTTTTGCATTTTTAGTAGAGACAGGGTTTCACCATGTTAGCCAGGATGGTTTCGAACTCCTTACCTCAGGTGATCCACTCGCCTCGGCTTCCTAAAGTGCTGGGATTACAGGCGTGAGCCACTGCACCCAGCTGATTCCAAGTTTTTAGGCAATAACTTAACTCTTTCAACCAATTGCCAATCAGGAAATCTTCGAATCTACCTGTGCCCTGGAAGCTCCCCCAACCCCCTTCCAGTTGTCCCACCTTTCTATACTAAACCAATGTACATCCTTACATGTACTGAGTGATGCCTTATGTCTCCCTAAAATGTGTAAAACCAAGTTGTGGCCTAATCACCTTGGGCACATGTTCTCAGGATCTCCTGGGTGCTATGTCACAGGCCACTGGTCCCTCGTATTTGACTCAGAATAAATCTCTTCAAATATTTTATAGTTTGACTCTTTTCATCAACACTTGTATGCCAAGAGGCAGACAATCATAAACTATCACTGCTAAAAGAAACCTTAGAAAGCATCTGATCCAATTCCCTCATTTGACAGATGAGGAAACCGAGGCCCAATGGTGGGGGTGGGGGAGTAAATTACTTTAGGTTGAAATTTGGACAAAAATCTAGATCTACGTTGGAGTGCAGTGTCCTTGACCTAAGGAAAGTTGAAAAAACAGCAGAGAGATGGTCCCTATCCGAGGCTTGCATGCACTTACAAAGTAGCTTCCTGGGGAAGCAGAAGCTTTCTGGGGAGGCCGCGGGTGAGGGGAGTGGTTGATGGGGAGAACTCCGCCTTTAGCCAGATCCTCCACGATCCCCTGGGCCCATTTGGCTCACTAGAGTACACAACTCTTTTGCATCTTGTGCCTTTCTAAATTTCAACTGGTGACTTCTTCTCCCTTCCCTGTCTTTTAATAAGGGTGTGGGGAAGCGGGGAGATTCTATTCCTGTCTACTTCTCTAACTGTTGCAGGTTCTTAGCTGAAGGACCCAATCTCTCTGATCCTCAGGCTTCTTCAAAACACAACAAAACAAAACAAAAACAAAACAAAACGAGAAAAGTAGGGGATGGACTAAGTTCCCTTTTAGCTCTAGAATTCCATGGGTCTTCGGAGGGGAAGACAATACTTTCAGAGCTCGTTTAGCCGGTGAACCTGAAAACGAGGATTTTTTTCATTTGCGAAGTCGAGGTACTCCTGCACGCCCAGGATGCAACCACTAGAGGGCAGCAAGGCTCTGAGCACCTGGGCAGGTGTCCGCCTCCGGGCCTCACAGGAAGACAAGCAGGCTGTCTCCTCAGACCTACCTGGGTCTCTGTAGTTATCATGTTGTAAATTCCAAATTCAGTTCTTTAGCAAACAGAGGCCAGCCAAATTAGGATGAGATGAGGGAGCAATTTTGTAAATTAGGCTTGGCACCAGAAGGATAAAAAAAGAAGTCTAAAAAGACACTGGATATTTTATGAAAAATTGAAAATCTGTCCCTGTCCTAGGTTAGTCTGCTTTACACCTCACATCATCAGAGGCAGAGTTTTGAGAAGGACTAGGAACATTTTAGGCCGGGTGTGGTGGCTCACACCTGTAATCCCAGCAACTTTGGGAGGCTGAGGTGGGTGGATCACTTGAGGTCAGGAGTTTGAGACCAGCCTGGGCAACATGGCAAAACCCTGTCTCTGCTAAAAATACAAAAAAATTAGCTAGGCATGGTGGTGCGTGCCTGTAGTCCCAGCTACTTGGGGGACTAAGGTAGGAGGATCGTTTGAGCCCAGGAGGTTGAGGCTACAGTGAGCTGAGATCATGCCACAGCACTCCAGCCTGAGTGACAAAGTTAAACCCTGTCTCAAAATAAACAGACAAAACAAACAACAAAACAAAAAAACTGAAAAGAACTGGGAGGATTTTAAGACTGGTAAAATTTTTGGTAGACTAAAAGGTGATGGGAAAAAAAACTAATTTATAAGGCTCATGTGTTAGACCAGTTTTACCTAGAGTTCCTTGAGAAGTTTCAGTTCATTTTGCTCATGTTTGTTTATCTTCGAGACGGAATCTCGCTCTGTTGCCTAGACTGGAGTGCAGTGACGCGATCTCGGCTCACTGCAGCCTCCGCCTCCTGGGTTCACGTGATTCTCCTGCCTCAGCCTCCTGGGTAGCTGGGATTACAGGCACTTGCCACCTTGCCTGGCTAATTTTTGTATTTTTAGTAGAAACGGGGTTTCACCATGTTGGTCAGACAGGTCTCGAACTCCTGACCTTGTGATCCACCTGCCTCAGCCTCCCAAAGAGCTGGGACTACAGGAGTGAGCCACTGCACCCGACCTGCTCGTGTTTAATATGCCCTTACTCAGGAAGAATTGGTTCTGGAAGTTTCCAGAAAGTCCACCAAACCACGCACTATTTTTTTTTTTTTTCTGGAGAGGATGAAATAACCAGAATTATTACATATCCACTGAATACAAGAGTACCAACCTGGGCTCCTTAAGGAGATAAAAGGAAGGACAGACCAGGTATGGTGGCTCACACCTATAAACCCAGCACTTTTGGAGGCTGAGGCAGATCACTTGAGGTCAGGAGTTTGAGATCAACCTGGCCAATATAGCGAAACCTCATCTCTACCAAAAATGCAAGAATTAGCCGGGCATGGTGGCACATGCCTGTAATCAATCCCAGCCACTCGGGAGGCTGAGGCAGGAGAATCGCTTGAACCTGTGGGACAGTTTGTAGTGAGCCAAGATGGCGCCACTGCACTCCAGCCTGGGTGACAGATGCTGACTGTATCTCAAAAAAAAAAAAAAAAAAAAAAGGAAGCTCAGTGAGGGTGGCAAGGAGTGCTGGGTGCTGGCCTGGCTTATCCTACTGTGTCTGAAACTGGTGGCTTCTTGGTCTCACTGACTTCAAGAATGAAGCTGCAGACCCTCATGATGAGTTTTACAGCTCTAAAATGCAACATGGACCCGAAGAGAGAGCTGCACCAAAAGTTATCAAAATGAGCTAAAGACCAAGCCTGCCTCACCATGGAATCGGACCCAACCCCATTGCCGCCCGCTGGTGCCCACAGCCTGCTTTTATTCCCTTGTCTGGCCCCACCCACATCCTGCTGATTGGTCCATTTTAGAGAGAGCTGATTCGTCTATTTTACAGAGAGCTGATTGGTCCGTTTTGACAGAGTGCTGATTGGTGTGTTTACAATCCTTGAGCTAGACACAGAGTCACAGAGTGCTAGTTAGCTAGATACAGAGTTAGCTAGATACAGAGAACCAATTGGTATATTTACAAACCTTGAGCTGGACACAGAGT